GGCCTATTTTCCATCTGTCGCAAACATAGGGTCTCATGACTCTATAACATTGGGCTCAGAAATTGAGAAAAAAAAAATGGCTAAAGCTTCTATTGCACCCGCTTACTATTTATTATTATTGCAGTTTCTTGAATGTATTTTCTCATTTGAAGTTTTTTTCCTCTCATCCAATTTTCCTTTTAGAACTAGTTTTAAGTTGTGCGATGTACGGATATACAATTAACTCAATTATATATAATATAATTAATAAATTTTATGTAAGAAAATAAAAAATTTCAATGTAAAATAATAGATAAATAAAAATAATATAAATCAATATGTACTTATATAATATAAAGAAAAATGCTTTGTATCATATCTTATCTAATAGTAATATTTATATAAAATTAAATAATGTTTGATTTTAAATATAGAAATTTATTCCATTTAAAATCAATTTTTTTGTAGAAATTGTTGCTTGGTGTTGCCCTTGATTTGGTGTAAGACATCTAGAACTCACAATAACAATTACAAACCCTTGGCTAGATGGTGGCCATCCTTGCATTATATTCACAAAAGTCAAAGTAGTTCAAATTAAATTTGCATTCTTTGTTGAATGGGATTGAAATCATATATTAGATATTAAACATGAATAATACTGCCAATGAAAGGTAAATAGGAGAGCAAAAACTTGTGCCAAAATTTAGCAAACTCTAAATTTAACTAAAAAATCTTACTTTGTTCGCATCCATTATTAGTCATGAAGAAAAATCTGAAAAAATCTTCAAAAACTAAAAACTGAAAAGAGATAAAATATATGAAATTATTCTATTCAAAAGTTTAAAAAAAAATTATATTGAAAATGGAGGGATAAATGGAGTATAAACATGCATAAAAAAATGAATAAAAGATAAATAAAATCTATTGACAAACATGACAAAGAAAAAAGTTTATTAATGTAAAAAAAATGTAACTTGATGATTAAAATTTTCTTGATCATAATAAAATCAATACATTTGGAGGCTTTTCAATAGTAACCTCTGACTATTCTTAGGATAGAAGTTCTCTATTTATAACAAGAATTTGAGATACTTTTATAAATTGAGAGTAATTTATGCATAAAATTATAATGGGTTATTAATTATTTATGTAATATAGCTTTTATTTTGGAAAGTGCACACTTAATTAGACCTATTCATGGGTCAGGTTGGGTTGGGTTTGGGTCAAACTTGATATAATATTCTAACATTTTAAGTAAGTCCAAGCCTTGTGTATCCTGATTTTTTAGGCCTTATTTTCTACCTAAGCCTGTTCGTACATATAATAATAAAATTCAAATTCAACAAAAACATTAGTATTTAAAATTGGAGAAAATAAATTTTTTTGTAACTTATTAATTTAATTAATTTTAATTGATTTTATGAGTCAAATGAGTTTAATTTAATTTTGTTAAATGCAATTTAAAATTAGATCATTGTTTTGTATAAAGAAAAAATGAGCTTTATCATATTATAACTAATAAAACATATAGGTCTTATCCATTATAAAAAAATAAAACAAATGGGGTTTGTCCCATTATAATAAAAAATATTTTTTAACTTTTAGGTTGGATCACACCGAGCTTGAGCCTTAAATAATGAAACCCAAACTCGATTCTATTTTTTGATCAAGCCTTATTTATTTGTCTAGACCTATTTAATGGGTTTAATACTTATGTTCAAGTCTTTCAAAATTTCAAATAAATTTTCATATTCGGGTGAATCACCTTACCCATGAGCATGTCTACACTTAATATTTTGAAAATTTTTTGTACAACAATAAATTATACCAATTGTAATTAATACTTATAAGAAATAAATATGAAAATATGTTTCCAATTAATTAAACTTTTATTTTAGGTTTGAATCATTAGCATTATATGCCTTTTATATTCATTTAGTTTAATAAATATATAAATTATTTCTTAATTAAATACTAAAATCACAGTCATTAAATAGCTAGTGCTTTCAAAGCATATTTTTTTATTTGTAATTCACATGTTTGATATTTAAAATTAATTATTGAATTTGATTAAAAATAATTTAAGATAATTTAATTGTAATACATTTATAAAAGGCAAGAATATTAGATATTTAAAAGAAAATAAATAACCTAACTTAGTCAAATAAATTTCTTTTAAATTAATAAAATGTTTATAAAGTCAAAACAAAATAATTAAATGCAGAATACGCGGCAATTGTTCAAAACAATTCACGTCTGGAAAAAATAGATTATTCACATTGAATTATTTTTTTTTATTCCAAAAGTTTTGATTTTTATATATTTATAAAAGATTTACTTGAGAGCGGAGCTGAAATTTCATTATAGCCTTCTTTGTTCCCCCACCTCTATGATGGCTAAAACACACGTCCACCTCTCTGATGACTTACTCATTTTTTCCGGATGGGAAACTCATCAATATTGAGAATGGTTGACACTGTTGGACGCATCTAAATACCATATTCATGTGTTGGTTGACAAAGTTAAGTTGCTGGAGAAGATGAGATTTTCTGATGACTTCAAGCGTGATGGTCGATAGCCTTTATAGCATTAATTTTGGTGGCTAAGCAACCAGAATGTAGATTCATGAATTTTGTCATCTGAAGCAGTGTTGGGATCAACAGCAATTCTTCTTTGTAACTTTGGCTAGGGACAGCCCGATATATGAATAGATATGTAGAATCATTGTCCATGATTGTAGTTAGTGCTTGTGACTTGTCGTCTGATGTAAACATGGAAATTCTGAGGCCTAGATGCACCAATTGTAAATGTCTTGTAAGTTCATGTGTATTTCTCTTTTGAAAATATATCTGAACCTAAAACAATTCAACTCCAGGTCTCCAACAAAGATGCAAAGGGACTTTTTTTTTTCATTTATTGCTTATGAAAGTTCTTCCCCATTACTCTGGACTCTCAGCAATGATCGTCAACTCATTCGCAGCATTCTGCCATTATAATGGTGGTGGTACATAGCATATAGGAAGCATGGTTTGTCGTGAAGTTGGGCTATTTGTAAGAGGCCTGACCGAGGCAATAAAACAGCAGCAGCAAGAGGGGGTCGCTAGTGGCAGGGCTTCTCTCTTTTCATTGGATGTTTTGACCAATGTGTCTTAATGTGGTGTCCAGGCAAGCTTCCAGGACCCCCACCTACTTCGACAGCAACATGCAGAGGTCTCGAAAGAGAAAAACAACACAGCGTTTGTATTCGTAAAATTTTAATCTCATACAAAAAGAAAATCCCCAAACTCCAAGTTTCTCCCATTTTCCATTCCTGGTCCCCATAAAATATGATTGTGGAAATCCTCTTGGTGTTGACCTTTTTTCTTTCCTTTCTCGTGGAACATCATACATTCTAACATGGGTGTTTTTTTTATTATTATTATTTCTAATTGGACCATCTCCTAACCTCTTTTTGATGATGCAATTTTCTATATAAAAATCATGAAAATGAATATTTACACACTATCATTCGAAAAGACTTGCTCATCCTTTTGCTAAAATTAGCAGCGCATTATCTTTATCCATAATTTGAAAACATATACATTTTAAAAAAAAATTTTGGTGTTGAAAAGATAAAAAATAAATATATTTTTATTACTCAAATCAACATAACATATGTTATATTTAATAATTTAAAAAATAATGATGATAAATCATATATTTGAAATGATATTAATTTAAAATCATCATCTAAACTCAAACTCAAAATGATTTATAATAAAAAAAATCATATCAATTAAGTTAATTTCTTGATACATTTTAAAAAAATTGTTATGACATGCAAGTCCCTAATTTTTTTGAAAACATTAGAAGTAACCAACGGATCGAAAAAGCCAAAAAATATAGTTTTTGCCTTTTTAATTTAACAACATTCCTTCATAAGGTAACGAATCTCTTAACCCTAATTAAAGATTCTATCCATAAAAATGTAAGAAATAATAAATTCTTTGTTTGGCCGCACGTGACTATGTCCACTGAAATTATCAGACTCTAGAGTCTATCTTGCCTGGTCTCTTCTGCGTCGCTGTTGCATTGTTTGTGTACTGTACTCCCTGCTTTGTCGACTGCTCACTAAATTCCATTACCCTTTATCTTTCACTTGAATTCATTTTATATGCTTATTTTGGTTTCACTTTCACCATTTTTTTTTTGTTTTGGGTTTCTCTTTGCCCTTTCGTTGCAAACATTTCTTTCGTTTCTCTCAAGAACTGCCACTTTTAGCAACAAAAAATCTCTTCGTTTCTTGAGAGACAGGAAAACAGGAAGAAACCAACCCAAAAAAAAAAAAAAAACATTGAAATGAAAATGAGTTTTGGAAACTCATTGTTTAGAGATGACTGGTACGAATCGCCGTCGTTTGGGGTTACTGTTTTGGAACCTAAAGTGTAGCTCGTGAAACCTAGTTGGCTTTTGTAGACTTTCTTTTTGGTTCTAGTCAAATCTGAACCGCCTACTTCTGAGTTGTTTTTTCATTTTTGTTATTTTGAGGGATGTATTAACAGGCTATATCAATAGACGAAAATGGAAAATATCTATTACGAGACAAATTTAGAAAATAAAATATAAAAAAATCTTAATTTTCATATCATATTAACGAAGAAGACGATGGAAATTTTTGTTTTAATTGTTTGTATTTTACAATAAAAGTCAAAATTTATTTATATAAAAGTAAAATATTATAAAATAAAAATATAATAAATACAAATAATGATTAAATTATTTTTTATAATCAATTAAATTAATATTTAATATTTTCAAAATTAATATTAAATTAATTTAAAATATTACTAAATCAATATTTAATATTTTTTAAATGAAAATTAAATAAATTTAAGATATTATTAAAATAATTGAAATCACTTTAAAATATTTCCAAAAATATTACCATAATATCATGTATATATATCTTGGTTTTCCGAGACAGAAGAGTAGAAGAGAATCTGATTAGGGTTTTCAATTTTTGTGTCACTTTGCTTTCACCGATGAATCGCCGATTCCTTTTGGCACTATCCTCGTTATCCTTCGCCGTATTTTTCCTCTTTCTCGTCTTGCCTTTTTCAGGTGCGTGATTTGCATGCATAAATACTCTTTTTATTTTGCTTTATTAGTTTAATATTTTATGTTTCCTTTATCAAAGTGGATGAAGCCACTCTTTCACGTACATGGGGCTTCTCCATGTTTCCTTTTAAAGTCCTTGTGATCTTCCTGTTTGTCTCTTTCTGTTCATTATTATAGTATAAAAGGATCTTCTTTTAACTAATTCCTTTCATTTTATACTCATTTTTGTTTGTTTTTGGGATTTTGTTGCAGGAAATGGTAAAAGCATCGGTGGTTCATTCGGTTTGAAGCCGCTGATGAGGCTGAGGATCAAGCAAGGGAACAACGCACTTTCTACTCCACATCGAAAGCTTCTTCATGGTAAATGAAAAAAAGAGAATTGACCCACTTTTTTCTTCATAATAAAATGCCAAAAAAACTAGGATTTGAAGTTTTTGTTCTGGGTTTTTGTTATTGTTTTTGAATGTGGGGTCTTCTGGGATGACAGGTTTTTTATGAAAATATTTTTTATCCAATACCTAAGCGTACGGTTCAAACTATGGCCGTCGTGTCTCGCCGTTGATGATACAGTTACTGTTGATAGTACCTTTAAAATGGGGTCCTAATAGCCCATCAAAGTTTTATGAACCTCTTTTAGCCTTCTTCGTAATTGAATGCCTAGGGCGCAATTTAGCACAACCTTTTTATGATAGCCCTTGCTTTTAGAGTTAACTAAAAGCTTTGTTTGAATTTTCATTTTCAATTAAGGTCCAAACTCTAAAGCAATTGGCAATGTGTCCACCCTTATACCAAGTAACCAAGCCTTTTAAATTTTGTCTCATTCTTTTCCCTTCAATTCCTCTGAATCATCCTCCAAACAAGTGAATTTTGTCTGTAGACGTTTCACATTATTGGTTGGGTTGGTGGTTTTTTTTTTTCACTTTACGTTTGTTTTGTTTATTGATTTGCTATAATGTAAAGTGGACCATATTTTAAGGCTTAGGCTTTCACTATCTGAATTTTTTTTTCCGTTTCGTACTCAGGAACAGCAATGGAGGAACCCATCCGAAGTTCGGGAGACAAGTGTACCAAGGCTGATATTATGATCAACCAGGGACCTACAGCCCCACTCCCAAGTGGCATACCAACCTATACTGTTGAGATCGCGAACGAGTGTGCCACTGGCTGTGACATCTCTGATATTCACCTAAATTGTGGCTGGTTTAGCTCGGCTCACCTCATCAACCCCAAAATATTCAAGCGCCTTGGCTACAATGACTGCCTTGTTAACGATGGCAAGCCCTTAATCCATGGTGGGACAATCTCATTTCAATATGCCAATACCTTCCTTTACCCTCTTTCAGTCTCCAGTCTGGTCTGTTCTTAGCAGGATTGGTCACTGGTTAGATAACCTTGTGATCTTTCTGGTTTTAGGGGATTTTCTTTCAGCTTTATGTCATTAGCGGATTGAGTCCTTTCGGGAAATTGACTGATTGAAGGTTTTTGATATATACCTTAATAAAGTTCTCTTGTGAAATTTGCATGATGGCTTTCATGGGCTTTTTGGGCAGGAATGCCCATGTCGGAGCCCGATCAACACAAAACTGAACTTGGATTAAATGTCCATAAAAAACCAATACAATGTCCATTTTCAGACATAGAAGAACTGGCCCACAGAATTTTGACTTTTAACGGTCTCCCCGTTTAAAGAGGAAAAATTTTGACTATTGACCCACTAAATTTTTGAAAAAACGAATGAAGAAAGAACCAGCTTTGGCTCCTGTCCTCTGAGAAATCTTCTTGAGACTGGCAAGAAGATCACAAAGCCATAAAAGAGTAACAGAGAGAGAGAGCAAAAATGGCGGCTTCAATCAATGGAGTTGGAGTTGGGTTAGGCCTATCTTTTTCTACTAAGCTTCCTAAAGCAACCCTTCCTTCTTCAAGATCCTCTGGTTTGCGTATCAAAATGACTGTCTCTATTGAAGATAAGAAGAAGAATTATACCCTTCAAAAATCTGAAGAAGCTTTCAATGCTGCGAAGGTTATTATCAGCTCTTCCTCTTATCCCCTTTTCCTCTTTATGTGCTTCCTAGTGGAAAGTTAGAATCTTTGCCAAGTTAAGCTCAATTTTTTGTTTGGATTTTGTTGAAATTCCAGTCATTTGGTTGATTTGCGATTTGGGTTTCTTATGGACAGGGTGAAATGACTAGGAAATCAACTTTGAATTCATTATACCATGTCTAGGCTAAATTGAATTGAGAAGAAGTTTAATTACATTGTAACTTCAAATAAAAAATGATTTGAAATTGAAAGAACTCAATTGGCCATGTTTAATTGGGTTTATCAGCTTAATATTCAGTAATATGTTTGGTAGGTTATAATTTGGTATTTAAGTGTCAATACCAATGCTAATATTAACAACTCTATAACTTTCTGTTGAGAGCGAAATGGCAGGCTGTAAAGCAACTATTTTGCTTTTGACATTATAGTTCTATTTAGAGTTAGGGATGTCTACTCCTTGCTTATCACTAAAATGGTGCTATGGAAACGGAGTAAAAATGTATGGAAAATGTAAGAAAGGTATGAAATCGTGTCAGGAAAAGGATATAATAGGTATAATAATGCATAGTTCCACAGATGTGGCTTGTGATGTTAATTTTATCTTCCATAGATAATGCCCTCTTAATCCTGCAAGAATTTTGTTTTGGTAGAACTTGATGCCTGGAGGTGTAAATTCTCCTGTCCGTGCATTTAAATCTGTTGGTGGACAGCCAATTGTGATTGATTCTGTCAAGGGTTCTCACATGTGGGACATAGACGGGAATGAGTACATCGATTACGTTGGCTCCTGGGGCCCTGCAATAATTGGTCATGCAGATGATGAGGTTAGGTGTTTTCTTCTTTTAGTCTACATTTTCCTTGAAACACACTGATATCTTGTTTGTATTTTAATTTTTAGATGTGCTGAGCATCTTGCATTTATATAGTTCCTTCTCTTTCAATCTTGTTTGTGAATTTCTTCATACTAAGTTCAATGTTCATGAATTTCTTCATAGTAATTTTGTCTGACAATGGTTTTGATTGCCTCATATGCATATGTAATTTTGTATTCATTTTGTTGTTAGTAGGTCAGTAATAGGGAGAACAGACTCATAACTGCTAAAACTTGCTTCTGATATACTAACAATTCTCGATTGACTTGCATATATTTGCAGGTTCTTGCAGCCCTGGCTGAAACGATGAAGAAAGGAACCAGCTTTGGGGCTCCTTGTCTTCTTGAGAATGTTTTGGCAGAGATGGTAATCTCAGCTGTTCCTAGCATTGAAATGGTTCGATTTGTGAACTCCGGTACAGAAGCATGCATGGGTGTGCTCCGCCTTGCCCGCGCCTTTACTGGCCGAGAAAAGATCATCAAATTTGAGGGTTGTTACCATGGCCATGCTGATCCATTTCTTGTCAAGGCAGGTAGTGGAGTTGCTACCCTAGGGCTGCCCGACTCTCCTGGTGTTCCCAAGGCAGCAACTTTTGAAACTCTAACTGCTCCATTCAATGACATATCAGCTGTGGAAAATATCTTTAACAGTAACAAAGGAGAACTTGCAGCAATTATTCTTGAGCCTGTTGTTGGGAACTCTGGCTTCATTCCACCTAAACCTGACTTCCTTGAAGCCATACGTCGCCTAACCAGGGAAAATGGTGCTCTCCTCGTCTTTGATGAAGTGATGACTGGATTTCGCTTGTCTTATGGCGGGGCTCAGGAGTACTTTGGCATAACTCCTGATTTAACAACCCTAGGGAAGATAATTGGTGGTGGTCTGCCTGTTGGTGCATATGGAGGAAGGAGGGAGATTATGGAGATGGTGGCACCAGCAGGGCCAATGTACCAGGCCGGGACCTTGAGTGGGAACCCATTGGCAATGACAGCTGGAATACAGACTCTTAAGCGGTTGAAGGAGCCAGGAACATACGAATACTTGGATAAGATCACCGGAGAACTTGTTCAAGGCATTCTAGATGCTGGAAAGAAGACAGGGCATGCAATTTGTGGAGGGTATATTAGTGGGATGTTTGGATTTTTCTTCACAGAAGGGCCTGTTCACAACTTTGATGATGCAAAGAAGAGTGATACAGCAAAATTTGCCAGGTTTTACAGGGGAATGCTGGAGAAAGGTGTGTACCTTGCACCTTCACAGTTTGAAGCTGGATTTACAAGCTTGACTCATTCTTCTGAAGACATCCAAAAGACAATTGCAGCAGCTGAGAAAGTTCTTAGCAAGATTTAAGGTATCTATAGCAGTGTCTTGATTACTATTTTGTGATCCTTTTATCTTTCCTGTCCTTTTGTTCTCCCTTTCCTCTTGCACGATTGTCAATTTTGCTATCAAATTAATGGTTCTTTTGTTGTCAGTTTTTTAGATCAAGATTTGTAGTCTTTTCTTGTTGCTCAGAATCTGTATTTGTCACTTATTAAACCTTTTGTATCTTGGTAATTTATGAGATAATTATCTGCTTTAAAGCTCGTTTAACAAGATTTGTAAGATTTGTGTTTAAGTAATAACATATGGCATTTATACGAAGGCATATCTGCTTACAATTTGGTATACATTTAGTCTTTACATGGAGTAGTCTATACAAGTTAACAAATGATTCAAGCTAGTATTTGGAAAGAACGAAACTAAGGAACCAAAGAAAAGAAAAATGCACTTCATCATCACTCTATTAAGAACTTGCATAGATGGACTTTGCAATGAACATACAAGGGATACTCAGAGACAATGTTTACCTTCCTAAACATTGTTACCAGCATTAAACATGTTTCCAACTCTACAAGTTCGCCTTCATAAAATAGAACACGAACATACAATCTTTCTGGGCGAATCATCAATCTTCTTTTCTGTTCAGATGGGAAATCAAGCTTAAGTTGACAAGTCAAAGTATGAAATTTTTAGTAATTGTACACTGTCATTGACTCAGATTATTGACCTTAAGGACAAAATGCAATCCCATGGCTGGTAGCTTCTGGAGTTTAATGGATCTTATCACTGTGTGAAGAAATGTAGAAAGATGCAAAAGTGGCTAGGAGGATCTCTTAGTAATGATAAAGGAAAAGGGAAAGATGGCCTCTGGTAGGTTCATCATAACTCAAGCAGTGTGGTTATCGATGATCAATGATGAAGTTAAACAACAGTTCTCACTTCCACATTTTTCTCTCAAAATGCACATACACATCGAATTAGTTTTTAAAATCTTTATGCAAAAATAGAAAATCCTCCATCGGAAAAATCGATTACATATCATTTGGCTATCACTACTAGTTCAAGTGCAGATATATGTCAAAGAGCTGGACATCCTGATGTCCACTTCAGTGAGCAAGCTAAGCTTAAATGCCAATAAGAAAGAGTTCTTGACATTGGAGGAGCAAAGTTCTACATGAAGATAAAGATGGAGAATACCTGTTTTAGTTTTTGCAAGAGATGGCTGTACTACAACGTGCATGATGATAACCCCACCTGCAACTTCACCAAAGGGTTCTTTACACTGACCGACAGTCTTGTCGTTCTCCAAAATTTTACCAGAGCTTATCAGTTTGACTTCATTCACTGCCTTTGGAATAATTGTCTTACCTATGGAAGGGCAGAAACAGCATTTAAGAAAATTAAAACAAAATACTTCAAACTATTAGCCTATATGGATGCTTCCTTCTGGTTCTTATGATAAAAAAATATGAAGATTGTTGACAGACGCAGGCAACAAGACAATGGAGCAAAAGTTGATGCATTCTTTGAGGATACTTGAAATAAAATCATGATCATTCTCTTTGCAATCCACATATCGCTTGTTTTTTAAAAGTCAGGATGAAGATCACATCAACGGAAGATTCCAATAACAAATCCAACGATTCAAAACATGTATTTACAATTTACACAGCCAAATTTAGCCTTCTCTCTGAATATACATTCATAAGAACATCTTGCGATTCTTATCAATTGTTCACATCAATAACACACCAAATGCACCAACAATGTAGGTACAACCATATTGAAAGATGATCTCCTCTCTTTGTTAGGCCATCGATAGCTATTCCATGAAGCTAAGGACACCATTTTGCAGCGAAAAAGTTAGAACCCAAGTTCCTAAACCTATCTACCATAAAACTCTGCAATTACCGTGTGCTATAAAATAGTCCTTTCTTATTGCATTCCATGACTAAACCTATAAACCTACAGCTTTTTTCATTTGTCTTCACAATAACTAGGTTCAAACTCCAATCTGGAGTAGGGATAGAAACGAACAGAATGTTCAACAAACATTTTAGGATTAGTTAATTAAATGAATAAATCACAAATATAGTAAAATTTATTAATGTTTGATTCGTTTATACTCATGGAGTAAACTTTAATGAATAATTCGTGAACCAAGCTGATTTTTATTTATTAAAGTTAACAAATGACCCGATTCATTTATTAAAATTAACAAATGATCACGAACATCATTTTAATATTTGTTAATTACACGTACAAACCAAGAACAAAGTTCGTTCATATTCGGTTGTTACACCCCTGAACGGAATCACCTATGCTGTATTATATACTATATATGCCAAAACATTTCTTCCAAATTTAACGGAAATTCCCCATAAATCTTACAACAAATGTAGAAACGTCATAATTAAACAAAACCCAACAGCAAAAACTTCATAAGCAATTAGAAAAGAAATGAAACAAATGAAAAGAGGAAACCTTTGGGCCAATCAGAGACAATTCTTTGCTTAAGCATGTCTACCGTGGATGTGGCGGAGTAACGAAATGGCCCGATATCCGACCCGTCATAAAGCCTGAATTTTATATCCACCAAATTCTCCTCCGGCATTTCCGCTCACTTCTCCTTCTCTTACCCACCAACCACCTCCTTCCCCGTGTTCAATTCCTGCACAAATAGATTCACCACCGTCGGGTTCGGCTCATTAAATCATCCCGCCGCCTAAATTTCCATAAATTAAAGCCAAAACTGAAAATTCAACTAAAATCAGAACTTAAATAAAGAGGACCAAAATTCAAACCTGAATTTTTGTGTAGCAATTGATGAATTTGAAGCTCAAGTTTTGTTTTTGCTTTTGTTTTGTTTTTTTTTTTTTTTCTTATGTTTTTGAAAGATTGTCGTTTGGTGAACTGAACAAGACAAACAAGTCCTGCCATCCCCCAAAAACCCCAAACACTCCACCAAAACGAGGTCGTTTAGGTTGCGGTTTCATTGCGAAAGCAGTAGAAACGTCGTTGTCTTTACGATTGTAGTACGCCGTCGTTTTATATCGAGTTCCCTTCCCCCTTCCTTTGTCTACTTCTCCACCGTCGATAATTAAAAAAAAAAAATCCAGCCGAAAAACGGAACAAAAAGATGAAAAGAAACAGAGAAGAAGAGAAAGAGGAAGAGAAAAACAAAAAGAAAATGGAGATTGTTTGGCAAAATCCAACTTATCCTGCTCAGAAAGAAGATTATATTTTTCACAACGGTAATTGAAATTTACAAAAAAATTTACAATCAACTCCTTTTAATCAGATCAACAAAAAAAAAATCAAGAAAGCTCATCTTTTGGCGGGAAATTTACAGGGAAACGCCATGTAAGACCGTACTACTTCGAGTTCGTCTCTCATGTTAGTTTCTTTCTCTTTATCTCTCTGTTTGTTGGTTTTTCTGAATTAAATTGTTAACGAATCTGTTAAACCCTAATTAAACCCTAACACTGCTTCTTTCATAAAAAAGTACGATTTTAATTGTTGATTTTGCACAGGTTAATAAGCGATGGGAGGGTAAAACAATCGTGGATTTGTTCGCTCAAGAGTTCCGAGGCCGATCGAAAGATTACTATGTGATTTGCCTTACTCTTTCTAATTTTGGTTTTGAGCTGAAATCTTCCATTTACCTTTTCGGTTATTTTGGAAATATTGTAGGTTAGTGCTGTCAAATGTGGACGTATCCAAGTGGATGGAGAGAACATACCTGTTTCGTACATAGTCAAACGATGCCAGAAGATAAGCCACTTCTTACACAGGTTCATTACATTGGCATTCAATGCTGCTCTCCTGGAAATTCACTAAATCTTTAGAAGAAAATGCTTTTTTGTTAGAATAATATTGTATGTAAGTGTTCTTTTTTGGTTCATACATACGTTGATAGGAAAATCTTTTAATGTTTCAAATTTATTGACTTCTCTATGATTTTTGTTTGCATTGTTTCATGATTTTGCTTTGAAGTTATAAAACTTGTAATTGATGTTGCAAAGGTTGTAGGCATGAACCGCCAGTGATGGCTTGGAATGTTGCAATTCTTCAAAATGAACCTGATGTACTGACAGTTTGCAAACCAGCATCTGTTCCTGTAAGTCTTTGGTAAAGCATACTTCTTTCAACGTTATGGTTGTTGGAGTGTCTAAATAATATGGTTATTCATTGGATGAGGAGAGTGGGAACCTTTCTTCACTCTTACAATCCGATGTCAATGACTCTGTGTCCTTTTTTACTTTTGTTGGGGTTAAATTCATTTCCTAATGTTTTGTAGGTACATCCATGTGGTCAATATCGTAAAAACACAGTTTTGGGCATTCTCCAAGCAGAACATGGGTTGGCTCCTTTGTATCGTATCCAAACTTAGCTCCATATGTTGCAAATATTTAACCGTACATGAAGGCTACTTTTGTACTTTCTGTATGAAAATTAAATCTGTTTGCAGTTTTCTCTTTGGTGAAATTCTGAAAGCAGGGTTTTCTGCATTTTCCTTGACATAATCATGTCAGCCATTCATCGACTAGATCGTCTGGTCTCGGGACTTCTTATCATGACCAAAAATCCAGCTAGAGCTGACATTTTTAGGCAACATGTAAGTCTTCCATGACTTTTTTTCTACAGGTTGAGTGGAAGTGAAACAATAATAGAATAAAATCTTTAGGCATTTTGCTTAAAACTTTAACTTGGTATTAAAAATAAATTTTCGTAATATGGAATCACATATGATTGGCATAAATTTCCATTAGGTATGCCTACATAAAATCCTTTTAGTTGTGCTGTATTGCATACTTTGTTAGAATGATATCTTCGGACATTAGCTGTTCTGTCTATCAAAGATAAAAATTGCATTGCTTTATCAATATGCTTGATATGGAAACTTAGCGACATGGCTACTTTTTGTGCTGTATTGCATGATTTGTAGAATGATATCTTGGGACACTAGCTGTTCGGTCTATCGAAGAGAAGAATTGCATGGCTTTATCAATTTGCTTCATATGGAAATTAGGACTTTTTACTAACAGATTAGCATGGCTCTCTGTATTTTTTGGCTTTTGTTAACTAAATTAAACTTCTGTTCATTTGAATCTAAACATGATGGACTGATGGTTGCAGATTGAAGCTGGACTTGTGCAGAAACAGTATGTTGCAAAGGTCGTTGGAGTATTTCCGGAGGGCGAGGTATATGATCTTGTTTAAGCAAGATGGTTCATGTAATTTGTGTTCAAATTTGAATTATTCTGCTTGTTCAAATTCTTTTAAGTGCATAGATGATTGGATGGTTTACTATATATGTACTTTTTATTTTTTGGTTACATTGGAAAAACTACCAATCTTGTTTGACCTTTTTTTCTGTCTTTTGTTTTTTACATAACAAACAGTGACAAGGATTAGCTTGATAACGTAAATATTTGTATTATGAGAATGTAGTTTCACACTGATCTTCTTTAAGGCTTAGATCTCCATCTATGAAATTTCAGTATTTTGTAGAAGAAGCATCTGGTTTTTCTTTCTTTTCCTATTTCAGAACAGTTGCAACTCATTCAAGGAAAAAAAATGCACCTTGTGTATGGACTTTCTTTTGTCTGCATTATAGTGTTCTAGATCTTCTTCTAACCCAACCCTCCTTTTATTTTTTATGTTTTAACATGCTATCTTGAAGGAACCATGTTCAGAAACTTTTCACTCTATTCTTGCAACAATTTACTTGACATTTTTTAAATCAAGTGTAAAGCTCAGAAGATATATACCTCATGTGGCAAAGTAATGGCTCTCATATGCTAGGCTGCAAGTAGTCTGAAAAGTAATTTTTTGTCGAAACCAAAATCTAGGTCATTCAATTGCATATTAATGTTTTACTGAGGTCTGGTGTGACAGTGAATGAATACAGGTAGTTGTTAAATACTACTGCACTAACATGTAACGATGGACAAAATTTTCCCATTTGACATCTGTCAAGATTTTCTCTGTCAGCAAGTTGTTGATGCCAATGTAGATTACAATGCTAGAGAGGGAAGGAGCTCTGCATTGGTAAGTGTGTTTTTTCTACACCTATTTATAGGATTATAGCTGTCTTCTACACTTATATGATTATAATAGACATAAACCACGTGTGAGAAGAGGCAGATTGAAAGGAAAGTGAGATCTATTGTGTTATGAATTTGCACTTGTACATTCAGTGCAAGCTGACAACTTTGCAGCTCACACCATCCTGTCTTTAATGATGAATTGGAACATAAGATATATTGTGGCCCAGAATGATGCAAAATATTTGGTGTTTAAATCATGTTCAAAACTAAAAGCTGCCCTTTTTAGTGATTTTCTTTTAATGGGATGCAACTTTTGCCATAAGTTTAATTTGTTTTAATATTCAGTTTAATTCAATTATATTGGTGTTTCTCATTATTGTTAATCAAACTGAATCTCCATGCTTTGCTACTAGTAGTATTGCTTTCAATCACTGGTAAGGCTGTTGGTCATCCATAAATCTTTGAAGTGCTAGTTATGCAGGGACTTTTCTTTCTCCAAGGTTAAAAATTCATTACGTTTGCCAGGATGTTTCTTATTCATTAGTTAATGATCTAATCAGAGATTTATCCAATTAGAAGAAAGTGGCATTGGCTATGCTGAATCATAGAGCATGTTCCTTTTTATGCAGGTTGGCATCCCTAATGGTGATACTGCCTTGAAGGGAAAGGCTGCTTGTACAAAGTTTACTAGGATTAGTACCAATGGGACTCATAGCATTGTCTTGTGTGAACCAGTTACTGGCCGAACTCATCAAGTAAGATAATGCACGGCAAACATTAAGTAACTTTTGCAACACCATTAAAGAGATGTATTTAGTTGTTTTAATGGACAGGCGATGCTTTTGGATATCTCTTGTTCGTGTAATGATATTTTTGGGTTACTTATAAATTATGTTGCATGCAGTTGTCTTCTGTTATTTTAGTATTCTCAACCAGCTTTTGAACTTTAAACTTTTTTCTATGAATTTGTGTCTCTGAAGGACTCTTAAATTGGTTTTCTGACAATTAAGAAATTGCTTGTCTTTGTCTGTGCTATGGTGAACTTGTTTTGCATTTATGTGTTCTTCTGGACAAGTAATACATGTACTTCCTATTGCTAAGGTTTTGTCAGTCAGTAAATCTACTATATTCCTGCATATTTTTCTGACACTAAATTTTCTTGGTGGTAGATTCGTGTGCATTTGCAATATACAGGCCATCCAATAGCCAATGACATGCTTTACCTTTCAGTCAATGTTGTTGGTCGTTCTACTTTAGGGACAACTGCTGATAGAGCTGCAGCTCTTTCTGGCAGCTCTCCAGCAACCAGTTGTGAGAATCATAATGAGGAATACAAGTACTGCAATCAAGATTTGACCATTGATCCTATGTGTACACACTGTCCTAATTTAGCTCCAAATGGGTAAGACACCTTTTATTGTGATTACATATGTTCAATATAAGATGAAATATATTTAATTCTGTTCTCAGATTCAATTTTCTCTTGTTACAACTATATCTATGCTTGTCAATGAGCAGTTAATTGTAATTTTATAATGCAGTTTTATCATAGTCATTTTGTATAATTATTTAAAAATATTCAGACATTTTCTGCTTGATACTGGTTTTTTCATCCATGCCATAACAACAAGATAGGACTCAATATAAATTTCTCTGCTATCATTGGGTAAAGTTCAAAGTGTAAATAAAGTAAACAATATAACAGTCTCTGGTTTGTTCATACAAAGAATCTGCTGTATGGCATGTAACCATGACAAAAATATTGTTCTTCAGGGCATCTGTTATTCCTTTTGTACTACCACTGCTAAGATATCCATTTATCATGTGTGGAAAATTCAAGATTGACAATTACTTGATATTTAATAA